GTAGACAGAAGGTAGGTAGGAAGTATATATATATATATATATATATATATATATACAAACATACATACATATATGTGGCACTGAATTCATAATCAAGTACATTTCCACTTGCCATTTGAATTCAAAAATATCAAATTGCTTTAGATATGCATATATCTTATCTTGTTTCTTCTGTAATAACTACTCACAGCCTGTATCATCAAGTTCAACTACCTACATTTTATAGTAAGTATACTATATTATCACCTTTGAATTGAAAGTAAAGCCAAATGTTGCCTGTATAAGCCTTTGTTTGTATGCAAATTATAAGCATTTACACAAAGCAGAGGAAAAATAATTGTTCCCAAAACAGTTGTTAGACACATTCAGCAATTTAAATTAGGCTTATTTTACATTAAAATTGTCTTCAGCTGGATATGAATGTATAAGTTATTGGCCAAGGCCTAGCTTCATGATATGCACTTAACTGATTTTCAAGTTATTTGTTAACTTTGTGTCAAGTGAACATATACTAAGGTAATTAGAGAACTGATTTTATGGCCTTTATTATTTAAGTACCAGTTTAAATAATGTTTTATGTACAGTATTATCCATTCATTGATTTGTTACATTTTATATGCTGGTAAGCCTGAACATCGGTTGTTTTTGGTAAATTTCTGTGTTATCAGTCACTATGATTATCTTTTACTTAGATTCTGCTGTCTATTTATTTTTATTAATTTGAGCTTTGCTCTTTTTATTAAATTGTCTTATTACAAAGTCTGTTTTGCAAATTGTATACATTTATGCTTTTGAGGCTTTAAAAATTTGCTTGAAGATGACTTTCTGGCACCAGTGGTACTGCTAATTATGGTACCTCTGCATCCAGCAACCATCTTCAACCTCAGATAAATGTAGCTCATGCATGCACAAGCTAAAGAGGCATACAGAAAACTTCTTAAAACAGCTTACATGCTTGCTGTGGATGGACAGCATCTGTCAGCATTCAAAACTCTAGTTAAAGTGCAAAAGCAAAACAGGGTACAACTGATTTCAAATTTTGATAATGCCAACAGAGTGAAAGAATTTATTAACTTTATTGCAGAAGCCACTCACATGAAAGTAGCAGTGATTTTATGTTCAGTTGTTGCTTTTGCAGTGCTTAGTGATTGAAGTCAACAAGAAAACATCTTCTGAAAAAAAGAACTGATTTTCATTAGAACAGTCAAGCAAGGTATACCAGTTTATTTCTGGGTTTCTTTATAGAACATTGATAGCCTTGGTGATGCAGATGTAAGTAATCTAAATAAGAGCATTGATGATGTATCCAAAGGTTATGGAAAAGTTTCAATTCCAGCAGAGAAAATACACTTACCTGCTAGTTTCAGCTAGAGCTGATGGAGCCTTTGTTAATACTGGAGTTTATTTAAAATGAATTTCTAACAAAACTAAAAAATGACAATTGCCTTTAGCTTCTGGGCATTCACTGCATTTCCCATGGAGTTGAAATTGCATTAAAGTGTAGTGTATCTAATCATTTGCTGATGTAAAAGACTTCATGACACCCATTCATGACACTGGAAAATTCAAAAGGCACTTGGAGACAACTGCCAACACATTTGGTGTGCAGCATTTTAATTTTCCCAAAGTACATGGTACATGATTTGTTGCACACATGAGATCTGGAGTAAATTATTTATTGAGTAATTCTGTAATTCTTGCTTGAGCAATACAGAATTCCCTTGCCAATTGCTAGGAAAGAGTAGTATTGGCTAGATTTCATGGACTCTTAAAAAGAATGAAACACTTTACTTTTCTGTGAAGACATCCTCTTAAACAGTTTAATGACATAAAATTTAAATACAGATATACCATTCAGTGCAGAGTAGGGCGATGGTGTAGATGCTGTGATATCCTCTGCTATAAAGCATATGAAAATGAAAGGAGTGAGACATCAAATTGCAGTTCAACCCTTCGATTGGGATTCCTCATCCTACCCCCACGTGGATGTCAGTTCCACTGGCTGTGATTTGGATATAGAGTAGAGCAATCAACATAACTCCTCACATATGTATTACTAATGTCTGTCTTCCTCTCTCAATTATACTCCATCTGTGTTGTGGGTCACAGTGGAGGTACTTGGGATTGTTATGGTTCTTTCCCTTCTGCTCTCCCTCAATGCATCTTATTCTGAGGATGTTATTGCACCTAAGTTGGTTCCAGCCAGTTTCACTGTTGAGGGAGTTGATTTCTCTATGGTATACATCTTTTTGATTCTGGATGCCCAGGTTCCTGGATTGTTATATCTTATTGTGTTCTTAACATGTGCCCTGTTTTGGAATCAGGGGGGGTTTGAGATCCCCTCTGATCTCTTGAACTTGAAGTGAAGACGGTATGATTTTCATCCTGCTCCCACATGGATGTCGGTTCCCAGTGGCATGGGTTTTGGATGTAGTTGACTTTCCGAGTATAGTCTGTCGCGCCCTAGCCACTCTACACCTGGGGGCACTTCCATTGTTTTTTCTCACACCAACTG